TTTTTTTTTAAACAAAGTTCATTTTGCTTGTGTGATATTGGACTTTCAAAAAATACATTAAAGATTTGGAATGAGAGGTGCAACAAGAGTTGAAGATTATTTCAATCATATGAATTTTATGTTTACGTTATTAAAAAAAATAATATATATATATATATATATATAATTTATATTTACTTGAAATAGAAACTAAAATCTTGTTGAAAAAATATAAAATTATTAAACTTGGTAATATTTTTAAAAAAATTAAAAAAATACCGCCTCTAGAAATTAATTAATCAATTTATGGTATAAAATAGACAAAATTAATAAATCCGATTTTGGTATAAAGTGGATGATTTTATTTGATGTATATGATGACCATTTTTATTTTTTGTAGCAAATGTATTGTTATTAATAAATGTATGAATTTATGATATAAAGTGCGCGAATTATTTTGGTATAAAATGTCCGAATTTTTATGGTATGATTTTAATTTTTTTTTTTCATAGGATAGAAGTGTATATAGAAATTTTAAAAACAAAATAAGTGGTATGAATTTTACTTGGTATGAGTATTAAAGTAGAATTTTAGATTGATTTGTTATAAAATCAAGGTGATATGATTCTCAAATTTTAGCATATTCCCTTAATAACTTGCGATACAATATTGATGATAATTCGACAAATTGGTATGTATTCCTTTTTTTTTTCCCAAAACGACAGAGGAACTATTATAAATTTAAAATATGTAATTTAATTCTAGTGAATTATTTTATAAATTTGAAAGATAAGGTATAGACAACAAATTTAGAAAATTGCTAGATAAATATATATATATATATATATATATATATGTGTGTGTGTGTGTGTGTGTGTGAAATCTATGAGATTTTTTTTGTGTAGCCCAAATTTATATTCTAAATTTAAAAGTCAAATAAGTAATTATTTATAACTTACAGGTCAATATTAACTTGGATATAAATTATATAGTCAATTATTTATAGTTTAATAAATTACTCAACTACTTAAATTTTTTGATTTGGATTGTTTATACAAAAATAAATTTATTTTAATAAATGGAACGACTTAAGTTTTATAATTGTACTTATTATCACATCAAGTTTTAAATATAAGATAAAATTTTATCAAAATAATTATTTTATTGAATCACATTGTAGTCAAATCAAATTTATGAATACACATTGTAAAATGACACTTATTTTGAAATAAACATAATGTAATTTATTATCAACTACATGCACTGTACGGGTTGTGTACTAATTTTAAATCAACATGTTTTATATAATGTTGCACAATTTTATACGAGGAACAAAAATAAGTAAAATTGTTATTTTTCTTATATCAAGGAATAAATATATGTACAAAAATCAAGTTTATTAATTAGTTTATGGCTAGCGCTAACAGACTCAGGTTTAATGTTTCTACAAAAAAGTGACGCTAATGAAAATAAGTGAAAAATAAATGATTCAACTCTATTATTTTTTAGGGTTCAATGGACAAGCTCTATGGAAATGATTCGATTAATATCTCTGTTCCCGTACATCGGTACATAACAGACAAGCTCTATGGACTCTAAGAAAATTAATTATTTAATATATCTGTCTCGTGCATCGCACGGGCTACGGACTAGTATATATTGAAAGAGGTTGATGAAATAATCCAAAATAGTAACTTTGACTTTAAATTAAATATTTTGACTTACTATTAAAGGAAATATAGCAAAATTACTTTATTATTTGTTAAAAAAATGAAAATCAAATAATACATACCTGTTGTAAATCATGCAATTCGATTAATAGCATGTCTTTCTTCTAAACGATAGATAATATAAAAATCAAAATGTACAAATGTGCGAATACACAGCCCCTAGCTGAATGGAACATCCAACAGCTGAAAAAGTGGGAGGACAGGTCAGAAGACCACCTAGAATCCTGACACTAGCAAAGCTAGAATAACAACACTCGCAACTACACTAAAACCAACTACACAAACAAAAACAGAAACTACGAAAAAAGATCCCACCAGGATAATACTCAAGCGTCCGATCCCAACAGGATAATAAGTTGACACTCGCGCTCACAGGGGCCAACGGCCCAAACCTAAAACACAAATACAAACACAAACACAGACATAGACATCCCAAACCTAAAACACAAATACAAACACAAACACAGACATAGACATCACAAAACAAGAACAACAAAATAACTAAAAATAACAACATAGCCCTTCCTTAGCATACGAATAGGCCCAACCAATAGTGAACAATCGACACAAGAAAGATTTCAAGCCCGACAAACCACTACCGAAACTGCACAACTGCCTATACAGTAGCCGAAACCGAGCCCCGAATCGACCCGTCTTCAAACGAGAGAAAAACTGCCAGCCCCCACGCCATCCCCACCCGAACCCGTCTAACCCCACTAGCCGAGCTCAAAGAACCAGGTCCCCCGCCGCCTAACACCACTAGACGAACAGAAGAGGGTCAGGGTGGCTCGATCACCGTCGCAATTGGAAAGGCCGCAGCAACTGGAGTCCCGCCCCACCCGTTGACTCACGCTCCACCTAACACCACCACAGATCTCCGTCGACCAGCCCAGGCCCCACTAGAAGAGGCGAAGCCCCGCCGGAAAAGGCAGAGCCCTAGAATCGCTGACAAGGTGAAGATTGAAGTATAGCATGTCTTTCAATATAAATAAAGTGGTATTAATTTTGAAAGTTATTTTGTCATAGTTCTCGCAATAAAAATTCAATTCTTCATACTAACTACAAATCACAACAATTCCTTATTATTTTGGTAACCAACCATACAACATGTCTTGAAAAACGTTTATTCAATAGGTTTTGCTTTTCGAAAATGTTAATTTGAATGTGCACGATAAAATTACAAATATAATTATAAAATAAAAATTGAATTTCAATTATAGAAATTTTATTATGATATATCACAATGTTACAGTGGAAGCTTATTTATCAACATTAATAACAAATCACGGTAATTTCTTATCCATTTGGTAACCAACCATATACCAAATTTTTATCGTATCTTCAAAAAACCATTTAATCAAGATGATTAGTTTTGAATCCTTTGATTTATTAATAATTATATTATCATAAACTATAAGAAAAATAAAACAAGATTGACGTAGTTAAAATATAATATTTTTTTTAACTTCAAAATAATATTTATTACATTTTTTTCAATTAAGTGTTGGTTATAACATTTGTCACAATTTTTTAACTTTAGCATAACTTATTTAGAAATCGAAATATTATATTGTAACAAGGTATGATGAGTAAGAGAAAATGGAGAAAGAGAAAAGTATCATGTGAGAGCAAGTCCAATGTTGCGCTATAATGCTCATCTACTTCAGAGTTGTGAGAAAAACTTGATCCAATGTTGCGCTATATTTTCTTACTACTCTGAAGATATGAACAGTATCACACTACATGTAGTGCGACACTGTTCATTGCGCTACAATTTTTGTTTTATTTTTTATTTTTTTTTAAATGATTTTTATTCAATATATTATTTTCACAAACTACACATTAATAAAATTATTTATTTTGTTAAAAAAATTTAAATTTTTATTTTATTATTATATTTATATTTTATTTTTTTGTAATAATATATTTCGTGTAGAGTAAAATATAGCGTGAACGACTGAAGATGAAAGTTAAATTTTGGCATTCTCTACTCCAGAGTAATGTAAACTCCAAACCAGAGAAGAGCAGAGCATTGGAGTGGTCTGGGTATTATTTATTGATAATGTCTGAATATGCTAAATTATTATTATCTTTAATTAAAAACAGAAACTGAAAATTACAACTATTTTATAACGAGTGAAATAAACATATAACCCATATATTAAATTATTATATATCATAAAATAAAAGAACAAAAATATTAATATTCAAAACTATTTTTGTACTAATCAATATTTCTTCATTTCTTTAATATGTTAATTTATAATTATTGTTTGTGCATCGCACGACTACGTACTAGCTTAAATTTGAAAGATGTACACCTGTTGGAAAAAACATCTGTCACTTAACCCAACGATAGCCTTACTCTATGGTACTCAAAATCTTCTAATTATAATAAAAACTATAATAAAAACGCCACCAACTTGCTGTGCTTCGAGTTAGATTTATCTACACTCACACTACATGACAGCTGACAAGTGACAAGCATACAAAACTGTATGAAGCCAAAGGGCATACACCTCCTTATTTTCAGTATTTCATGCTTTCTTTGTTTTAAACTTTTAATTAACAAAACAGTGTCGTTTTGTTAAGTGACTGTACGTTTGAACATTTTGGCCGCGCCTTTGAATGAAAAATTTTAGATATTTTGAATTTGTCTCTTTCCTATACATATTTTTCAACACTATCCATAATAATATATACACATATCATATCCAAATTGCCATTTATTTAACCCGAAAAAAAAAAAATTAACCATATGCATTTCATTTTCACCCAAAACTAGCACCTTTTCACGTCCTATAAATTCACACATCCATAGTTGATAAACCCATCCATCATCTTTACTTGTTCACACTAATAATTAATTTCAAAAACCAATGGCCAAAATTCCCCTACACTCCCCATTCACAACACTCTCAATCTCAATCCTTCTCCTCCTCCTCCTCCTTCACACTAATAGAGTCTTGTCCGAATCAGACCCATCAATATCAAACGACACACTACCTTCCAGTATTTGCAACGCCACCCTTTATCCAGATGTATGCGTCGACGTTCTTAATGGATCAGACACAAACACCTCCATACCAGGCATCCACAATTACAGTCGTATTTCCGTCGACAAATCCCTCTCGTACGCCCAAAGATTCTACGCCCTCACCCAAAGATACGTCAAGAGGCACAAAAACCTAACCTTCACAGCCCTCCGAGCCCTCAAGGACTGTGAATTCCTCGCGCAGTGCAACGTCGATTTCCTAATAAACTCGTCCCAAACCCTTAACTCATCATCCCAAATGCTCCCCGAGCACACAGTCGACGATGTACATACCCTACTCAGCGCGATACTGACAAACGCCGAGACGTGCATCGAAGGCCTCCAGCTGAATGCCTCTGCATGGGGCGTTCGGCCGGCCAAATTCCTGGCTCAGCTAGCCAACGACACGCGGCTTTACAGCGTGTCGTTGTATTTGTTCGCGAGAGGTTATGTTCGAAAGACAAAGAGGCGGACGCAACGTCACAGAAGTTTTCTGGCCCGTTTTTTCAAGATAAATAAGCAACTCAAGTCGAGTGACGGGCGGTTCAACTTTCGAATGTCGGAGAAGAATAGGAGAATCTTCCGGACGGCGACCAACCGGAGGCTACTTGAGGCGGCCGACAATAAAATCAACGTTAGTGATATCGTTATCGTTGACCAAGACGGGAACGGGAACTTTAGCACGATTAACGATGCATTGGCGGTTGCTCCGAATAATTCGGACGGGACAAATGGCTATTTCCTTATATACATAAAGGCCGGGGTGTACGAAGAGTATGTATCCGTGCCGAAGAACAAGAGGTACCTAATGATGATCGGAGACGGGATAAACCAGACGATTATCACCGGAAACAGAAGCGTCGTCGACGGATGGACGACTTACAGTTCTGCAACTTTTGGTGAGTAGTATATATCTCCAATGTACATGCAGTTTCTAATTAATTAAGATATATATATATATATGTATATATATTTCAGTCATTGTAACCAATAATTATTCGGCAGTCGTGGTGGCCCCCAATTTCGTGGCGTCCGACATCACCGTCCAAAACACGGCAGGCCCCGAAAAGCACCAGGCAGTTGCCCTCCGAAACGGGGCCGACCTCTCGGTGTTCTACGAATGCAGCATCGAGGCTTACCAGGACACACTGTACGCCCACTCCCTCCGACAGTTCTACCGCAACTGCGATATCATCGGCACGGTCGACTTCGTCTTCGGCAACGCGGCCGCCGTTTTCCAGGAATGCAGCCTCCGGCCGCGCCTCCCGATGTTCGGACAGTTCAACGCCATTACTGCCCAAGGCAGAACCGACCCCAACCAGAACACGGGCATCTCTATCCAGAATTGCACAATTCAGGCAACCGATGACCTGGCGGCCAGAAATTTCACCGTCAAGACATACCTCGGCCGGCCATGGAAGAATTTCTCGAGGACGGTTTACATGGAGTCGTTTATGGATACGTTGATTGACCCGGCCGGGTGGAGCCCGTGGGTCGGGAATTTCGCGCTCAGCACCTTGTACTACGCCGAGTTCAACAACACGGGACCCGGGGCCAACACCAGCGCTAGGGTCACATGGCCCGGCTTTCATGTCATCAATCAGACGGACGCCCTGAATTTCACGGTGTCCTCGTTTTTGCAAGGGGATAATTGGATTCCGCGCTCGGGAGTGGCCTACTACGGAGGCCTTTAACTTATTACTAATTCTCAGAATAATCACATAATAAATCCAAACTCATGGATATTTTAAGCACTCACTGTAATCTACTTTGTTTCATATAATAAATCCAAACTAATGGATATTTTAAGCAAGGATATATCAAAAGATCAGAAAAAGGAACATGAGGCCTTAGCTTACTCTTTCGCAGCAATTTTCTACAGATTATCAGTCATAAGTTTATAACTCATAAACCTCAAATGCCCATACATATACAATTTATGTTATGAGGCTTGTTCAGGCTATTTGCATATTGCATCTCAGCCTATCTTCATTATACTCCATTATCCATATATCAAAACTCAGGAAATATTCACAAAGATACGTCCAAGTCCTTCGCGGACACAATCCAACCCACTCTTCTAAAACACAATTTATTTATATCTCTTAAAAGAAAAGAAAAAAAATCGTAAAACAAACATCACGAAAACGCGAAATATGCGCCGATGACCACTTTCTCTGCGCCTCCTTAATTCGCTTTAGTTTTGATAATGTTTGAGGTGGCGGACAATATGTTCTTGAGGAAAGAATTGTATTCTTTTAGATTCTTGGACAGCTGGACTTCGTCCCCGTTTTTGTTCTCCGCCTTCTCCTCCACATTGCTTGCCTTTAGCTGCGAGTCACATACGTCGATGTCTGACATGGCAGCCTCGATGAATTTCTTGGCGTCCACGTAAGCATTCCCCAGGACAGCATTGATGGCATCCTCGATCAAGTCATCGAGCGGGTTGTATTGGTCGAGGCAATCGCTAAGTGCCGACTGGAGAAGAGGGGACACGTCCGAAAGCGTCACTTTCTTCATGTCGGCTGTTAAGTTAACCGCTTGGTCCTCAACGAACCTGGCCAGATTTTGGGANNGCATGAAAACAAAATTCCCACCAGTTTTGTTGCAAATTTACATAATTTTCCCCAATATAACACAGGCCGGTTTGAATCAGAAAGTACAATCATAATATAAACTACGACTAATCTAGCATTTATGCAGCTAAACTCTGAAATCGCAAAAAATGAGAGATTCAATTTGATCCCTAAATGAAAAACCCTAATTCCCAAATTCAGCACAGGCCTGTTTGAATCAGAGAGTACAATCAAAATACAAACTACAGGTAAATTTAGCATTTCTGGAATTAAACTCTGACATTGGAAAGATGAGAGAAATTCAATTTGATCCCCAAATGACGAACCCTAATCCCCAATTCAGCACAGGCCTGTTTAAATCAGAGAGTACAATCAAAATACAAACTACAACTAATCTAGCATATACGCAATTAAACTCTGAAATTGCAAAAAATGAGAGAGGTTCAATCCGATCCCCAAATGAAGAACCCTAATTCCAAATTCAGCACAGGCATCAGAGTACAATCAAAATGCAAACTAGAACTAATGTAGTATTTATGCAATTAAACTCTGAAATTGCAAAAATGAGAGAGAAATTTAATTTGATCCCCAATAGAGAAGCCTAATTGTACTTGAGGGTGAAGAAAGCGAGGCCGTTGGCGTCAGCCTTCTGGTGCGGCGGCGCGGATTGCAGCGTGGAGATGCACTCCTTCTCGAATCCTCCAACGCCGCGGCACGCGGTTTGGATCAGAGGATCGCCGGAAATAACCGCTAGTTGGTTGCCGAAGCTGAGATGGAGGCGGAGGAGGGGAATATTGGCGGTGGCGGTGGCGGTGGCGCCGACGAGGCTGAATCCAATGACGACGGCCGATAGGAAAATCAACAACCTTCGCGACATGGTGGCTGGGAATGAATATCTTCTGTTATTCCTTGTACGATGAGGAAGACGATGAAATGAGGGACGAAGGACATGGGTTTTCTTCTCCAAATTGGGGGATTTTTGGCTTGAGATTCAGTGGCGGGAAATTTTGGGTCTCCATGAAAACAGGGCTACGCATCAAACAGAGCTCGTTTGTTTGCGAGTGGAGTAAGCTGAGCCGCTGAGAATATAACTGCACCAAGACCGTGTTTGGGACTTGTAAGATGAATAGATGATAGATTTTTCCCTTTCTTTATTATTTTTTCATTTATATATTTTGTGTAATTTTTTTTCTTTTTTCATTATATTCTTTAATAAATGTAGTTATTATGTTAAATTACTTCGTGTCTTTTATTTATTGATGTATTATAATTTTCTTTTATAATTTTAAAAATATTAAAATAATATCATATGAATAAAATTTACACAATTTTCTTTCAACGCAATAACATCTTCATTTAACAAATTTATTAATAATAGAAAAAAATATGTGGTAAATGGTGGATGAACAAGGATTAACACAATGAATTTATTTTCAATGACTTACAATATAAATTGAAATTTCTTGTAAATATAAATTAATGTTTTAGTAAATTCGTAAATTTTTGTAAATACTTGATAAATGTTGGTGTACTGTTTATATTTTATTAATTATATAACAACAATAATTTAAATAATAAATATGTATAAAACAATATATCTAACTAAATTACATTTGTAATATTAAAATAATTGGAACAAAAAGAAATATTTTGTAAAGTAAAATGTAGTGCGAACGGTTGAAGATGAAATTTATTTTTGTTCACTTTACTATAAAGTAGAGTAAACTATGCACTAGAGTTGAGATAAGGGTTGGAGATGATGTAACTTGTAACTAGAGTTGCTCTAACCAGTTATTCGCAACATAGCTCAATTGGTCAGTTCAACTCATGAAAACTCGAGTTTCACTTGTTCGATTACTTAAATGAGTTAACTCGAACAATTAATCGAGATAGTTTATTAAACAAACAAGCCTAGCTCGTTCGCAAACTAACTCATTTTTTTATTATTATGATAGATTTTGAACTAACACAAATTGGAGAACAAAGTGTTCAGCTCGAATAATACTCTTACTTAGAACTTAGGAGCCGTTTTCGGCCTGAAATATCGAGCACATTCTTTTCACATTGAGAAAGGAGCGCCCTTTATAGATGGTTATGAACACTTTATAAGACAACCACAATTTTTTTCGCGTAACTTTATCTACACTCATCTCTCTCTTGCATGATGTTGAAGCAAGGTGAAAGATCACTTCAAGGACCCGTCAGAGATTCAATAACGAGACTTGCAAATGTTTTAACTCACAGCCTATAGAGCTAGTTCTTTTGTTATCCATTTTTTTTTTTTTTTTGTGTGTGTGTTCTGAAGACAATCAAATGCAGACTTATTTCACTTATGCACCACAAATAACTCTCGTCTGGTCCAAAACAAAGCACACAATTACTTTGAAGCACCAAAGCACATGAACTATTAAAGGCAATGCTTTCGAATAAACAAAACCTTTAAAAGCTAAAGATGATTCACTTAAACAGAAACTTCTCCAAAATCTTGTAAAAGTAACCAAAACAAACAAACGATGGGCAATACAGTTCAAGGGCATCGGACAATACTAAGGGATACAGTATCCCACATCGTAACTCAACAAACATGGAATCAAACTTCAACATAAAATCTAAAAATAACATTAAACTCTGAAACCACGGCTCTTTCTCCTTCCTCTGGCTCGCTCAAACTTCCTTCCCTTAGATCGCACGTATGGCTTGGTATGACTGTGCGGGACACCAGGAGCTGGGCCAAAGTGCTTGACAGCTTCACGGGCATTGCGTGAACCTCTTAAGAGTACCTGTTGAAGAAAAGTATTAGAGAAAGAAAAACACAGTAATTCAATAACAAAACAATATTTCAAAATCAAATTCAGCAACACGAAATGACATATTCAACTAAACGAATCGAAATAACATTTACAGCTATATTTCAGGACCTCAATTACCTTCTTTGAGAGAGTATGATATGAAGAGAACGAAGGGCAAAAGTAAAATATTAAGTAACAACACACAGTGAACATTCATAGAAGAGTTCCCATCAGCACAAGATAATGACTTCACGCAGCTCACAAGATCATATGAATGGACAGAGACAGGTATTCTATCACCACGACAAAAATATATCAAGTTAAGAACCAAACATGCATAAATGTATAAAGAAATATAGTGTCTACAGAGCAACATACTAACTTCACAACACACATTAGAGCTACAAGTTCAGATAAAGGCTAAAAACATAAACAACTGAAAAAAAAAATAGCAAAAAGGAAAAAGATCATTACAGTGTTCTGCCCTAGAGGAGCCCTGAGAGCAAGCTGGTCAAAAGTCAAGCATTCTCCTCCAGCCTTCTCAATCCTAGCCCTGGCAGTCTCAGTGAACCTGAGAGCAGTAACCTTCATAGCAGGGATTTCACTAACACGAATATCATCGGTCACTGTCCCAACCAACACAGCAATTTGATTCTCCTGCAGACAATACAATCATATGCACATTTCAAAACACAATTATATCAACAACCAAATAATCCCTCTCAAGCCACTGTTAGAACTTCAAGGAAAAAAACCCAGTTTCTGCTTTGTTACAAGAAATTCCACCAAAAGCAAACTAGAATGTATATACAAGATTTATTCCCCCCTAATCCATCCATCAACCATTTTCCATATTAGCTACGAAACCTTAATTTCCTTCAAACAAACAACTCAAAAGAGAAGCATCCATAAAATCAAAGATGGGCATCAGTTATAATTGAAATCTCAAAACATAGACTATTCAAATTCAATCATATATAAGCAAAGGATCATCGCACCTTGCCCTTCATGTGGGCAGCGAGACGTGAGAGAGACAGCGGGGGCCTGTTAACCCTGCTCATGAACAGCCTCTTCAGAACCACTGCATTAAACCTGCTCCCAGTCCTCCTCACAAGAAACCGATACAACTGCCACACAGTAAACGTTTCATATCATCAGATCAATTGTTTCATAATCTCGAGCATCTAAAAGAGAGTTTAAACATCGCAACTTAGAGAGAAAAATGAGACCTTGACGAGGAGTTTCAGGTAGATATCATTAGATTTAGGTGCGGTGCGCTTGGTCTTCTTGCTCTTACCTCCTGCGACTAAATCGATACCCTGCAATTAAAGCAAAACGCAAGAGGAAAAGGTTTCAGCCGTGGCCGGTGATTGGGGAAATAAAAATTGTGGATCGGATTAGGAAACGGCGTCATACCATGGCTCCGGCGGCGGCTTGCTGCACCAGCTGTTGTTGGAGCGATGATGACGAGAAATTAGGGTTGCCGAGTGAGGGAGTTATATGGCATTTGTTTGATGTTTTTATGGGCCTAGAACCATATATATGCCCAGCCCATTAATGGTTAAAATGACTTATTTTATGGGCTAGACCTTAGACACTAGTTGATATAAATTTTCTCTTGGGCTTGGGAAATGATGTTGTTCAAAATTATCATACCACTAGTACAACACTCGTGTATTATACAATTGTTTGTTAAAATAATTATTCTAAAATATAAAATTAATGGGAACAAAGAGTTTTAAATTTAATTTTTTTGACAAAAAATATATTATTATATATTTTAGAACGATATTTGTTACTTTTACGACTTACATGTGTTATATTATAATAATTTTACTAACTTATATTATATAACTACTTTAAACATAAATATATTAATTTATAAATAATTTTATTTTTAAGTAATATTAATAAATATCTTTATTATTATTAAAAAAAGAATATAATTATTTAATTTATAAATACAATGTGGATGTCAAATCGAAGTTTATCAATAGATGATTATTTTGATATATTATATATGTAAAACTAATAAGAAAATACAAAAATTATTAACTTTTAAAATACATTTACAATGCAATGGTTATAATAGGAAATAATATTAAAATGCAATCAATACATTTAAAAATGACCATAAATAATCAACTTATTTATGGATAATACGAATCTAATTATTTTTTGATGGGAAGTAAATTAAAATCTATCCAAAACAAATAATGAAGTATGAAATTTTGTCAAATAGGATCCCGAAACATGCGAGTCTGTCAGGCTCAACACATTCAGTAATTACATATAAGGGGGATTTCTAATTTCTCATTACCTCTCATATATTAAATGAAGAGATTTAACTTAAATGTAAAACTTATGTACTGAGTCTCATTAAGCTCGAGTTCGAGCCCTTAATGAGCCGAGCTCGTTTTTGCTTTTTAATTAAACGAGTTTGTAATCTAGTTTGACCTTGGCTCATCGATTAGCGAGTCGAACTATAAAAATTTATTTATTTATATACATATGTATACTAGTATGTATCCCGTGCGATGCATGGGACAGAGATATTAAATAAGTTATTTTCACAGATTCTGTCCGTTTAAGTCTAAAAAGCAATAGGGTTATCATCTATTTTTCACCTCATTTAATCAGCGTTAAGTCTAAAAAACAATAGGGTTATAATATATTTCTCACTTTTAATAGCGTTGTTTTTTAGCCAGGACATTAAATATGAAAATGTTAGGGCTAGCTTGTAAAATAATTAATATATTATCTCACTAACACATTTATATGTATATAAATTTAATTTTAGTATATATATTTATTTTTTGATATAAGGAAAAATAACAGTTTTGCTTATTATTGTTCACCATATAATACTTACTTAGTATTTTATTATAAACTTTGTTGTCATATAATATCATTATTACTTATAAAAGTTATAGAAGTTGTACGTATTCTGTTTCTTTTTATTTTATAATGAAAAATATTTAATGCACGTTAGTATTATTTATTTATGTAATCAATTTAAAATATGTACATAAAACTAAAATTAGATAGTGTATAAATACTTTACAAAATATACACACATGTTTTTTCATAATTTAATTTGTTATACTAATTAAACAACTTTAATTTAGCAAATGTCAAAAACTCAATCCCTTCTACAATCAAATTTTAAGGATTTATAGTTTATTTAGCATACTCTGCAGTGAAAAAAATATTTTAGAATAATTTCATTATAGAAAGAAATCAAAATAAGAAAATAATAAAAAAATAATTATGGTTGCCAATAATATAAAAATAAATTCTAAAGACCAATTAATATATTTCTATTTTAATTTTTGACCATTAGTAAAACTATTTAATGTATATGGTTATGATCTCTTAAATGGTAAATTATATTAATTTGGAGAATAATTTATTTTTTATATATAACGAAATAAAGCTGAAGAAATAATTATATTGGTAAAGATTAATTCACAACTTGATTTTGCCTGATTAATTGGAAGAAAAAATTCTACCTAACTTGTTATGATTTTCTATAATTATTTTTGAATAAAAAGTGAATATTTGTGAAAAAAATTAATGTTATTGTTAGAACTTGAAATATGTTGTAATATTTATCTTTATCAAAATATTATCAACTTGAATCACGGAAAATCAATCTTGTAATTTATTATAATATATATCAATAAAATTATTGCAGATATTAATAAAATTATTTGATGAAACAATATTATTTATCATATCTGGTTTGATCTTATTTCAAAACATGTATATAGAAGCAATTAATGAATATATTAAAAAAGTTTCCAAAAAAGATATTTATTAAATGCTCCCAAAAATTTTGACTATTATTTTTAGTAAATAGTTATTATTATTATATATATATATATAGATATATATAAATCCTCTTAACGAACCGAGTGAGTCCAACTCGTTAACTAAATTAACTCGAGCATGACTAGTTTATCACACGAGTTGAGTCAAGCTCACAACCAGCTCATTCATTTAATAGATGTACTTCTAGTGGTTCTCAAATTGTAATTTTGTATGCCATTTGTTCATGTTTAGTATTGTTGTGTCTAGTGCTTTGTAATTATATTTGGAGTAACTAATGTAGATTTGCATATTTATTCATTTGTGATATGATTCCTTAGTTATAAATTTTTTATCAACTTAAAATGAAAATATCCTCATAATGTAATAATTTTTTAGATTATCGTCTATCTTTTATGTGATATATCAAATTAATAATTTTTTTATTTTGAATTTGATAATAATACCACATGTATTAACAAAAATAATCCATTTATAAATAAAAAAGTAAATTATCTAATTAACTTTAATTGGAAAACAATAAAATTATTATTTATTAATTAAATAAATCCATGATCGTAACTTAGAAAATCATTACTATAATATAGAACCAGTAATTTTTTAGTTGATGAGTATTATTTTAAACAAAGACATAATTAAAAAAATATTTGAAAAAATAGTTTTATTTATTTATTTTTTAAATAATACAAATTTCAACAATAAAGTTAGGATGATAGTTGTCATTGCAATAGATTAGCTAATATTTGACCTTATTCGCATTAATTTTTTCGTCTCAAAACTCTCTATTGTTCCACCGAACATCCTCACAATTTCACTCTGCAACATCGATCAAAACCACAAACTTCAACCATGAGTGCACTCACGCGCCTCCTCCTCGCTCTCTCGCTCGCCGTCATCTACTCATCCACGCAGCCGCTCTCCACTGCTGCGATCCATCCGACAGTGTACGAAGCTCTGGAATCGTACGGTTTCCCCGTGGGCCTCCTCCCCAAGGGAGTCACGAGCTACGAGCTGGACTCCGCCACCGGCAAATTCTCCGTGCACCTGAACTCCTCCTGCAGCTTCACCATAGACGGGTACGACCTCAAGTATAATCCGACGATCGCCGGAACGATCTCGGTGGACAAGATCAAGGATCTGAGCGGTATTCAAGTCAAGGTGCTTCTCTTTTGGGTGAACATCATCGAAGTCACTAAGGACGGCGACCAGATGGAGCTTTCGGTCGGCATCGCGTCGGCGGATTTTCCGGTGGATAATTTCTACGAGAGCCCGCAATGTGGTTGTGGATTTGACTGTGTGAACGGGGTCAAAAGGAATGGGAAATTTGGGTTCGAAAGGCTTGTTCCTCTTGCGGAGGCATGAATTTTGCAGGTAATTGAGTGGGTTTTTAACTTTTTTTTACCTTCATCTCTCTCAACATCACTGCTTGAGCTGTTGAATGACCCATGGGAAAGTGCCTTGTGTGTTTCTGGCTAAAAATAGTTGAACTTGTAGGGTTTTATTTCGTGGAGTGAACTGTTGATTAATTGGAAAATAGGGCTTCAAATGAGCCGAGTCGAGTCGAGCATTGACCTTATTGAACCGACTTTTTCAAGCTGCTTCCATTGCTGCTTGAGCTCAAGATGGACCTCGACTTTTTAAGGCTTGGCTTGATTCATAAAGAGTATACAAATGCTCAATATGGACTCGAATTTCAATACAGCTCGAATTTCGCTCGGCTTGAATTTTGAATAAAAGTTTTCTCTATTCAAATAAGATTTTTTCTTAGTCTCTGGCTAGAGTTTAGCTCAAGGGTTGCTTGAATTGCTCGAGGTAAGGTATTTAGGTAAATTACACTTATGCTCAAGTGGCTCGTCGAGCACTCCAGCTTATAACATGTGGGCTCGAGTTTGACTCATGCTCAGTAAAACTCGAGCTCGAACTCGAGCTCGAGCTGACTGCCGCTCGAGAGCGGGTTGATTTGTTTGCATCCTACATGAAACTATATGAGTTTTAGGGGAGTCTTTGGAAATAATTGGAAAACGGTTTGTAAGCTTTTTGCTTGAAAAGAGTGGTTCTTCGGTGTTTTCAAATGCTGACTTCGAATTCTTGAATTCTGCATAATCTAAAAGTAATGAAATATGACTTAGGCTTCTGATTAGGTTGTTACACAAATGAAGCACTTTTATGATTTATTCACCAGATGCTTAAACACTCTAAGTTTAACTCAATCCAATTTTCAGTTTCTAGTTGCAAGTACACTTTTGCCTTTGGTAAATAAATCTTGGGAAAAAAAAATTTTAACCTCCCAAAGTATGCCATTTTTTTGAGTTTGCCATAAATTTTTTTTTTTTTTTTGGACAATTTGCCTCCCAATGTAATCGAAACTGACAACTTGCCTCCTCGATTAAAAATCATAATATGGCACAAAAGAATAAATTTTATATTAATCTTTAAAATTGATTTTTAGGACTTTTAAAGCCGATGACGAGACGAACAAAATGAGATATGATTTGTCGAATTTTGAAAATTGATACCTCTATAATCGATCCACGAAAATAGTAGGAGAACGTGTGTATAGAAAAAATTTCAATTCAAGTTTTCTGATAATCAAGATATTCGATTTTCGATTGGAAGGTGTCATTTGAAAGCTAGTAGGACAAATTTTATAACGCGTAAATCTTATGAAAATCCAACGATAAGTATTTTGAA